TCATTTGACAGGAGGAGGAAGTTCCGTTACCGACTCAGATAGACCAACCGACGAATATTGGAAATCTGAGAGTGAGGAGAGTGGCAATTTTTTAGAAGTTGACACCGACATGTCAACTTCTGATCAAGAAACATCGTCAGACAACTCTTCAGATGATGATGTACAAGTTCAAGTGGTTGATGCCATGGAGTTGCTTCCTAGACCGGGGGTGAAGAAAGATCCGGACAAAGTGGAGATGAGCGAGGAGAAGGTGTGTCAAAGACTTTCCACGCTCAAGTTTGGCCCAAATGTTACCACGGAGGAGAAGGCAAGATTTTTGGATATGTTTCGCAAATATATCCATGTTTTTGCCTTTAGTTACAAAGATTTGAAGCATGTGACTTTTGAAACTCATCACATTAAGTTGGAGGAGAAATCTCGCCCTATTCGGCAAAAGCAACGACGAATCAATCCTCCTACAGCTGTGGTAGTAAAAGAGGAGATTGACAAGCTAAGGGAGGCTTCATCTATGAGGTAGAGAATTCGGAATGGGTGTCTTCTATTGTGATAGTGAAGAAAAAGAATGGTAAACTACATGTATGTGTAGATTACAAGAAGTTGAATGCTGTCACAAAGAAGTATTACTATCCTTTACCTTTCATAGATGAGATTTTAAAGGAGGTAGCAGGCCATAAGTGGTATAGTTTTGGAGATGGTTATAGTGGCTATAACCAAATCCAAATTGCTTTAGAGTATCAATTGAAAACTACCTTTACCACACCATGGGGAACTTTTGCCTTTAAAGGTATGCCATTTGGTCTATGTAATGCTCCAGCCACTTTCAAAAGGTTTATGAATAAGGTGTTTGAACATTTCATTGGAAAGTTTGTGAGAGATTTCATAGATGACTTTTGTGTGTACGGGAGGAAGGAGGATCATTTTGATCATTTAATCAAAATACTCCAACGTTTGGAGGAAGCCAAAGCTTCACTCAATCCAAAAAAATGCATTTTTGGATGTGAGGAAGTCTTATTGTTGGGGCACATCATTTCCAAGGATGGTATAGCTGTGGATCGAGAGAAGGTGACGAGGATCATGGAGTTACCTTTTCCGGTGACGTTGACCAAGTTGAAACAATTCCTTGGTATGGTGGAGTACTATCGGAGGTTCATCTTGTCCTTCTCCAACAAAGCTCATGCCTTGACGAATTACATGAAGAAGGGAAACGAATACGAGTTCATCTTCAATGATGAAGAGGCGAAGTTGGCGTTTGAGGCACTCAAGAAGGCGTTGGTGACGGCTCCAATTTTGGCAAAACCTGATTGGGATAAACCTTTTCTTCTGTATACAAATGCATCAAATATTGTTGTAGGATGCACCTTGAGTCAATTTGATGATGAGAAGCATGATCATCAAATTGACTCAAGGTGCATCCTACAACATCCAATTGCATATGCTAGTAGACAAATGGTACTAGCAGAGAAGAATTATTCAGTGACCGAAAGGGAGGCTTTAGCTGTCATCTTTTCACTTAAGAAGTTTTGACACTATCTTTTGGGTGGAAAATTCACTATAATGACTGATCATAAGGCCTTGAAATATATTTTCAACAAGCCTAATGCTGAGGGGAGGATAGCTAGATGGAAACTACTACTAGTGAAATTTGATTATACCATTGAAGATCGACCAGGAAAGAAGCATGCTAATGCGGATTTGTTGTCAAGAGCTTATGATGAGGGAGGAGATCAATCTATGGATGACACTTTTCTAGACAAAGATTTGTTGGTCATAGACACGGTGACATTGGTACCAGAGAAGTACAAGGAGATTTGGGAGTTCATCTCCAAAGGTTAGTTTCCTCAAGGTATGCATTCAAGAGAAAGGAATGCATTGGTAAAAAGATGTCAACCCTATATGATCATTGAGAAGGTTTTATTTCATCAAGGAGCTGATGGTCTTTTACGACGAGCTGTTGGAAGAGGCAAAGCATTGCAACTCATGAAGGAGTTTCACGAAGGTGCAGTGTGTGGAGGACATTTTGCGGGGAAGGTAACAGCTTTCAAGATCCTTGATGGTGGATATCATTGGAACGGTATTTTCAAAGATTGTGTGGAATTTTGCAAGAGTTGTGATATGTGTCAAGTTTTTGCTAAAAAGTCCATAAAACCCCCTCCTTTGATTTCAGTTACAATGTTAGGTCCTGTAATAAGCCACCAAAGGCTAAAACTGCAGTATAGCAGCAAAAAGGTCAAACCCACAAGGACAGAGGCAACACACAGAATACAAAGTGTCACGTTTAACAGACTATTGAAGAGTTTGAATTCTTAGGCGACTGTCACTCCCAGATATACTGCAAGTGCTCAACTCAGAGGTCACTCGGAGGACTCACAGTGCAGCGTAGTTCACTCAACACACACCTGAAACTATAGAAACACAACTAAGAGGTCGGTTAGGACCTCTACTTAAGATTTCAGGGGGAAAGTTTCTCACGAGTACATTCAGCGAATCTGCAGGTAGTGACTCCCAACTCCGGCTTTTACCACCCTGCCACTAGTTTCTGCTAGCCCCGGGCACCCGGGTTGGACTTCCTACTTCGGATGCGGTATCTTCGTCAAACCAAAGTCACTCACACGCGGTGAACGACACACTCAACTCACAATACGCGCCATAACAGTCTATTGACGAGTTTGAATTCTCAGGCACTAGTCATTCCCAGAAATACCACAGAGGTTTGCCCCAAGGGCTCTTTCTTTAGCGTAACTTGAATTACAACCAAGGCTTACTCGAAGTAACAAAACTTCACTTTGGCATTCAGGGGAAACATCCCAAAGGTGTACAAACAGGAACAATCACCCGAAGGTGTAGGGACGAATTGTTCAAGTATCTAACCAGTTACTAGCTCTGAGCATTCAGCAATCACCCGCAGGTGTATATCCAAACTGCTCAAGTATCTAACCAGTACACTGGCTCTGAACATTCGGCCCAAGGCCTTCAGCTACAAAATGCGGTATCTTTGTCAAGCTGTAGCTCCTCTTGCGCGGTGACAGAACTAAGGACACAAACACGCAGAGAAAATGAGTTCCTGATCTGCACTTCCAAAACTGGAAGAATACTAAGGCAAGACGCCTTGAACTACTTTATACCTTCTAAGTCCTAACTAACACCACACTACACTACAATGCAAGTCATCTATTGTGTCTCCTGCGCGACGGACTGCCGCGCGCTAACTCCCTACCCGACCAGTCTTCGGCTCGACTGCGCAAACTCCCAGCTGCCGCAACACCGCAATCACCTCCGCCTCGAGGTTCGCCATGGCGTCCCGCGACCTTGACAGAAACGAATCTAACTTCTCCGCCACTCGCCGCCGGCTCCGACTGTCACCCGACATCAATCCCGCCGCACGAAGCTCTAACTCGCGCAAGGTGATCTTCTCCTGCGTAGCCACTTCCCAGAGGGTGTAACCTCTGAGACAGTGGTTTACACGTTCCACCAATTCTTCTTTCGTGCGATCTGCCTCCCGCCTGCGATCGTCTTCAACCACCACCAACTGCAACTCTGCCTCCGCACGCTGCGCTCTCAATTCGCCGCACTCTGATTGCAGTTGGCGGATTAAGTCCTCATTCGCCTGGCGTGCGAGCTGACACTGTTTTAGCAACCGTGTCTGCCGCACGAGCTCCTCTGACAAAATACGATTCTGAGTTTGCTCAAAATCTAGCTCATCCGCGAGCTTCGCCTGCTCCTTGGCGAACTCCTTCTTCGCCTCCTCGAACTTGTCGTCGTGCGTCTTGTTGACTGCCTTCGGCAACTTCCGCAAAAGAGTAATGTGGCCACGCAGGGCCTCGTTTTTCAATCGCAGATCCTTGATGTCCTCATCCAAGGAAGCCAACAATTTGCTGGTTCTGACTTTGGTGCGAGTTCGCCTACGCACCAATTCGACGTAGGACCCAGGGTGGCGGGGGTCAGCATACTTCGCCACCTTGCGATCGAGATACCTCAACAGAGGTACCACCTGTTTGCACAATGCTGTCGTCGGCGTGCCTTTCACCGATTGCTCCTCCTCCTCGTCCGAGCCCGATTCGTCTCCGTCATCCTCCGAATTGAGGATTTCGGTCGCCACGGAATTTCTTGGTGATTCCCGCAACACATGTGCCGAAGGCACACGTGTCTCCTCTTTCTCTCCGTCGTCTTGCTTCTAGCATTGGGCTTCCGCCAAAGGCGCTTGCGCCGAAGGCGTATCGCCGAAGGCGGCTCGCCTGAAGTCACTTGAGCCGAAGGCGCATCTTCCGGCGGTGCTTCCGCCGAAGGCTCTTGCCCCGAAGGCTCCCTACTCACAAGCTCTTGGGCTGAAGGTCCTTGAGCCGAAGGCGCCTTATCCGCCGGCTCCTTCCTCTTTCTCTGCTGTGCCAAAGGCGCTTGAGCCGAAGGCTCTTGCCCCGAAGGCGAGTCAGCAAACGGTGTGGAAAGTGAATTCCACTGGTAACCGGCCAAACAAGTATTTCTGGCAAAAAAAATTTAAAAAAATGAAGTTTTTTTTAATAGCTACAGTAAGTTTGTATGTTAGAAAGTAATAACTACGGGATAAGAAGGTCGGAAAGTCGAAACAAAGAAAGAAATTAGGGGACGAGGAAGGAGGAAGAAAAGGAAGCTGAACAGGGTTGAGCTTGGTGCGAAATTAGAATTGGAATTGGAAGTACGCAGAGGGAACTGAGTCTTGAAGATGGACGGTGTGGAAGATACGAGTGGTGGTGATGGCGCGTGGGAGCAGGAGAAGGAAATGCGGCCCACTCTGGGCTTCAACACGCCGTCCCTGGTCGCGGCGATCTTGAATTACTGGAAAGGACGGGAGTCGAGCTATGTATGACAGGCAATTGAGTCTGCCGAGACGAGCACGATCTTGAAGACTATACAATGTTGCCAGATTGGTGGAGGGTGGAGGAGATGGAGTGGTTCTTGAATGGGTAGCAGTGCACTAGGTTCAGTACCCGGGTAGATCTGTCAGGGAAGAAAGGTGCGGCGAAGAAGGAGTGACTGGTGCGTTATAGGGGAGGAGGAGGGCTGGAACGAGCAAGAAGAGAAGGCTTTGTTTTCGCTTTGAGAGTAGGCTGAGGGTTTAAGAGGTTAGGCGATGGTAATTGCAGGTATGGAGAAAACAAAGGCTCTGGCCACGGGGAAAAACGGGCACACGAAGGTGGGGAAGAAATCGAAGGCCGTTGAGAATGGCGCTGCGAAGGTCGTCGAGGCGGAGGACGTGGAAGAGGGTGAAGTTTTGCCCATGGATGCCGAAGGTGGCAGGTCAGGGGATGAGGGTCCGAAGGTAGACAAATCCTCAGTGGAGGATGGCAAGGTGGACAAATCCGGGGATGCCGGTCAGAATGTCAATAGATCCGAGGAGGAGAATGAGAGCGACGATGAGGAAGAGGATGAAGCCCCGGGGCCGATGTCAAAGTCGGCACTGAAAAATGCCGAGAAAGCAAGGAGGTACAAGATTAAGAAGAAGATGCGAAAGGCAGCCGAGAAGGAGAAACGACATGAAGAATCCAAGAGGAAACGAAAAGAGTGGAAAGAGAAGCTCGCCCTCATGACGGAAGGGAGGTAGAGGGCAAAAGGTGGACCTAACTCAGCGTATCAGAGAGGTTCTTGCCAATTATCCGGAAGGTACCACTATATTGAAGGAGCTTATTTAGAACTCAGATGATGCGAGAGCCACCCAAATTTTGTTCTGCTTGGATCGTCGGCAACATGGAGTGGAGTCGCTCGTTTATGGACCGTTGGCAGAGTGGCAGGGGCCCGCATTGTTGGCTCATAACAATGCACAATTTTCCGAGAGGATTTTGAAAGTATATTCAGAATTGGAGACAGTAAAAAGCGTGGGCAAGCATGGAAGACAGGACGCTTTGGGGTTGGCTTCAATTTTATGTACCATCTATCGGACTTACCCTCGTTTGTTAGTGGTAAGTACGTCGTTCTCTTTGATCCACATTGCAAATTTCTTCCGAGAGTTTGTGCAGCAAAACCGGGAAAGAGGATTGGCTTTGTGAGCTCCTCCGCGTTGCAACGGCACAAGGATCAATTCGCACCGTACATTGCATTCGGCTGCGATATGCAAAATCCATATGATGGAACTCTATTTCGTTTCCCCTTAAGAAGCGTGCAGCAAGCTGAAGATAGTAGGCTCTCCAGGCAGTCGTACACGGAGGATGATATGAGCTCGTTGCTCTATGAGCTGTACTTAGAAGCCGTTCCAGCCATGCTTTTTCTCAAAAACATTGAAGTAATAGAAATATACGACTGGCAAGAGGGTGCATCCGATCCCAGCCGAGTCTACTCGTGTCAGGTCCAGTCAGTGTCAGCAGAGATTCGCTGGCACAGACATGCATTTGCAAGACTATCGATGGCACAAGTGGCACCGAATAAAGGTTCATCGCCTGTGCCGAACCATGACATATTTGGTCTCGACTTTACAAGTGAAGTTTACTCCGGAGTGCATAAAGGTATAAGAAGAAGCGAGTCATTTTTTATTTCTCAGTGTATGGATGCAACTTGTGGTAACACACTTTTTGTTTTTTTTTGCAGAATTTAAACAATTTAGAAAAGAAGTACCGAAGCAGTGTCTGTAGTTAGGAAATGGTACGTTAAATAGAGTGGATTGAGGAGATCGTCACGAGGTCACGAAGAATCGCGAAGTTGGACGTACCAGCGCCAAATGCCTTTGGCGTCTTCGGCAAGATCTCCTTTACTGAGGTGTCTCTACCCACGCGCTTCCAACGTTTAGGGGAAGTACGCTGCCGGCACAGACACCTCCGGAGGAGATCTGGCTAAAGACGTCAGAAGCCGGCAAGGACCTCTGAAGGCTTCCGACCATGAGTGCGCCTTCGGCGATGCGCCGCTAGCGCGGGAGAAAAACCTTCATAACGATCAGGATACACGGTACTTCCAGTTGGTTGAGATTGCATTGGAAAGAGCTCGGAACGCTCGTTCTAACGAGCCCAAGAGCGCCGGGGATGGATCAGGGACAAAGAAGTGATGAGCATCGGAAAACTCGCATCCGGACATGCGCTGTTCGCGCTAGGGTTCACCGTCGGAAAGGACTTCCGTACGCCTTCGACGATGCGCCTTCGGCGGAACTGTGGTACCCCACTTTTGGTAATTTTGAGAAAATTAAAACATTTTTGGAAAACTGTACCGCGGCAGTAGTGTAAATAGCCTATGGTGCATCAAAATAGAGTGAATTCGGAAGATCGCAGAGATTCTCAAGGGAATTCGTAGAATCTAGGAGTTGGGTGCAACGTCAAGGAAGGGCACCACCCTCCCTGCGAGCTCTGAAGGTATGATTCCTTCGGCGCAAGGCGCAAAATCCGCCTCGGCGCTGCGCCCTCGGCGCTAGGGAAATCCTTCATATTTAGGTCAACCCCCAAATGCCTCGACTTGGCTAAGTACTTGTTGGAAAGAGCTCGACACGCTGATTCCAACGCGCCCAAGAAAGCCACAAACGGATGAGGACTCCGGGAGTTATGAAGGTCGCAAGATACTCAGCTTTTCGCCTGCGCATAGGCGAAGAAAGTTTTGTCCTATGCGCGGACGAAGGAATGTCGCCTGCGCACAGGCGAAAAAGGGTTTTGGCGTAGGCGCGAATGTCGCCTACGCACAGGCGAGGAAACCTCTGCCTAGGCGGACGAGCGAAGTTCGCCTACGCACAGGCGTTCGCCTGCGCATAGGCGCTAAGGCGTCGGCGGGAAATCCGCCTTCGGCCCTAGAAATGCGCCTTCGGAGGTAGAAATTGTACGGCGCCTTTTGCGCCAGCGCAACGGCGCGGACGAGCAAGGAGCCGCCGGAGTAGTAAAATCCGTACGGACCGTATGGACTGTACGGATGGGACGGATGGATGCGCTCTTGGTCGGGCGGAGTTGCGGCGGCGAGAGCGCCGACGGAGAGACAAGGAACGGACAGTCTGGACGGAGACTATTGACCGCGGTCAACGCCTTCCGCGCCAGCGCAGCGACGCGGACGGAATTCGCCTACGCGCAGGCGAGCGCCTGCGCACAGGCGGGTGAAGTTCCGCGCCGGCGGAGAATCCGCCGAGGAGTCCGCCTGCGCACAGGCGGGAGTTTAACTTTTGTCCGACGTGCGGAAGAGCGCCGAGGCAGAGGAGGATTGGCCGAGGAGCGGTACGAACAAGTGTACCGCGCAAGGCGGAAAAGCCGCCTTCGGCGCTGCGCACCCATGTCCGCGGCGTAGTACGCTCGCGGAGTTCAAATTCGCCAATTCGAGCGTGTGAGTTAAATCGGCGTCGGCGGAGCGTGAAGCCGCGCGTGAGAGCGGAGACCGTTTTAGCGTAGAGCCGGCGCGGCCATCAATTGATTCGACCCTCACGATCAAGAGCCGACCATGACCTTCGACCGGGAGACGGAGAGCGCTCCATTCTTGAATTCGCGATTCCATTTTCTAGTGCGAGCTGCGCGCGTCCATCTGCTAGCTGCTAAGCATTCCAGACATCGCCACGCAGAGGATTACTTGTTGATTGAGAGAGAAGTGAGTGCGCGTGATTTGGAATTGAGTGAGATTAGAGTTTGCCGAGGAAGCAAGGGAGCTCGAGCGGAGCAGAGAGAGAATTAGCGAACAGGCGAATTCCAAGAACGCAATGTCGAGGCTGAACCGATTGCGGATGCTGCCGCTCCGGCTTCCACAGAACGGGCTGCGCGCCTACGAGGAACGGCTGATAGCAAGAAAGCTCAATTTCTTGCTATGGGGATGGAACTACATTTGTGTGGATATGGTGCGCGAGTGGCTGGAGCCACATGGACCACCTTCGCGCGGATTGCGTCCGCATGTCGATCGGTGGACGGTCCAAGATTGGGCGCAGGCATTGGGAAGGTGTGCCGGCATCCCAGGGCACCTCCTCTTTGATAGTGAGAGCGTCAAGATGTATAAGCAGGACGAGGCGCAATTTGTGGAGTTGTTCAAGCGGGAGAGGTCTACCAAGAATGGGTACAAGACCCGCGATTACAAGGATCGCTTCCGCCGAACTGTGGCTACGGCGCTGCTGCAATTACTGCAGCCACACCACGCCTGCTACATCACATTGTGGCAGGTTTCTTTTGTGGAGTGCATCATCGAGGGAGCTCCAATTCACTAGGCGAGCATCCTGCACAGAGTGATGCTACAGCATCTCGGCAGGATAACGAGGTCGACTTTGACGCAGAGGACACCCCGACCTCCACGCCATCAGCTCAACAGGATGCGGGGAGAGACGCATCCGCAGCGCGAGTGACGCGGAAGCGGAGATGGAGAGAGGAACCGGAGAAAGAGCCACATCGAGACTCGATGGCTCTCAAACTGAAGCGGCCACTGGAAGAAATTTGCAGTCGGCCGAAGCAGAAAGCGCGCCGGCTTGTATTGCCTGCAAGTAGCGCGGAAACGGCGCGGGCCGCCGGAGAGAAGGAGACCCCATCCTCGGAGCAGGACGGGAATGCACAGACAGCAGAGGGGTCAGAAGACCTCCCTACGCCGAAGGCACGAACGCCTTCGGCGGAAGTGAGACGACCTTCGGGTCAAGAGCGACAACACGCGGCACGGCTAAGTGTGCCGTCTACGGATAGGAGAACGCCTGCGGATAGGAGAGCGCCTACGCATAGGTGAGACTTGCCTCCGGTACAGCGCAGGAAAGGAAAGGAGCCGGCGGAAGATCCGCCTTCGGCTCAAGAGCCTTCGGAGCAAGGTCCTTCGGCGGTGAGACCGCCGGGAAATGCGCCTTCGGCGCAAGGGCCTTCGGGCCACCGAGTTACAAGTAGGGAGCCGGCAGGGAACGCGCCCTCGGCGGGAAGTCCGCCGGAAGGTGCGCCTTCGGCGGAAGGGCCTTCGGGCCAAGGGACATCAGGCGAGCCGCCTTCGGCTCTTCCGCCTTCGGCGGAAGCGCCGCCGACAATAGCGCCTACGCATAGGCAAGACGCATCCCTGGCGCAGGACCTAATGAGGGAGCGGGACCTATCGAAGGAGCGGGACCTAACGGAGGAGCTGTGGTAACCCACTTTTTGCTTTTGTGCGGAATTTAAAACAATTTTGGAAAACAGTACCGCAGCAGCCGTGTAAATGGTGATCGGTACATTTAAATAGAGTGAAAATGGATAATCGCGGATTTCGCAGGATCTCGTAGAATCCAGAAGTTGGGCGCAATGTCCGAAACAGGCGCCGACCTGAACAATCGATTCTGAAGGAGTTCTCCTTCAGCGCAAGGCGCATAATACGCCTTCGGCGCTAGAGAGATCCCGCAGAGTTTATGCAATTCACAACGCCTCGACTTGCACAGGGTTTTGTTGGAAAGAGCTCGACGTGCTCGTTCTAACGAGCCCAAGACCGCCTAGAACGGATGAGGACTCAGGGAGTTGTGACTGTCGGAAGATGCAACGAAGAGCGCCTACGCATAGGCGGAAGGAGTTCGTCGTCGGCGGGAAGTCCACCGGGAATTCCACCTACACATAGGCGGAAGGAATTCGCCTGCACGTAGGCACTTCGCCATCGGCGGAATATCCGCCTTCGGCCCTAGAAGTTTGCCTTTGGGGGTGAAGCTCGTACGGCGCCTACGGCGCCA